TAGAAGTCTTTTTAACGGTGCGCAATGTTAGAACTCGTCTTGTTGCTATTTGCCGGACCAAGGAAGTAGTTAATAAGTAAAGAATATTAGTGTGATACTATCTAATAGAATTAATGTCGATTGGTGCGAGGGGGAAAACTAAGCCATACATTGATGTGACGCGATGTGACGTCTAATATGAGGTAATGGTAAGGGTTAGTAAATTATACACGCATAGCCGGACCAAGGTGCGAGGTGAAATTCTCTAGATGCCGGACCAAGGATTTAGAGATACATACCTTATCGCTTTGCATGTAATACACTAGGAAGGAATTGCTATTACTAGGATTACGGAGTTATGAGCTTATGGGGAACACGTACACCCTAGTTTCCTTCTCAATTTGATAACAACAAAAGTTTGAATCTTGTTTACTAATTACTTTCATAATTTCCAAAATTTGTTACATAAACCCCCCCCCCCTCTTTTACTTATTTGTATCGGAAATACATTGGCAAAACAAATATAATCGTTAATGAACTTAAGTCTAAACCATATTCCTCGTGGGATCGACCCCAATCTACTTAAGTCTAAACCATATTCCTCGTACGATCGACCCCAACCTACAAATTGGGTTCTTTACGTGATAACGATCGCTTATGTTTCTGAAAAGAGGTGTAATTTGAGCGTATCAAATATCATATATATATATATATATATATATTCTTCAAACGACCCATTCAGATCAATTTATTACAATAACAATGAACATGTGCAAGAAGAAAGGACCCAGCACAAAGTGTCAGGTCCATAAAATAAAGAACAGAACTAAAATAGTAAATAAACAAAAAGAAAGAATATCTGAAAAGTGGAAAGGAAATTATAGATTAGGACAAAATTCAGGGTCCTTCTTGAGACAGCTTGTAGGAGCTGTTGTCATCCTTTGATCTCGGAACATCAAGAAATCCATAAGCAAGGATCTTCTCTGCTCCTATTCCTCTGTGCAGCTGGGTATTCTAAATGTGGCTGGAGGAATCCATGAGCAAGGATTGTCTCTGCTCAATCTTGAGGTAAGCATCCATGAATTCCACTTGTGTGAAGTTTCTATTGTTGTGTAAATAAACTCTCTATTCACCGACCTACGCCCAAAGGAAACAGAGCAGGTCTGTTTGTCCAGTGAATCATGGGTAAGATTAGTTTCTCCTTCCTCTAGATCTAGTTCAGTGGGTTGAATCCCTTTACTAAATTAATACCACCACTTAAACCTCGATCTAGGCAAAAGTGTACTAATTTATTTTCGTTTTGAGGTTGATCTTAAATCGGACAATGTCTAGGATTTATGAATCAATTACTCAATTGCCACAGACGTCAACACATGTATTACCTTCCTCTTAATTTCGACCCACCAGTGAACATGAAAATGACATAGAAATAGTCTAGATGTTTAAGTGCTACCAAAAAATCACTAGTCCTGGTTTTATATCATATGCAACACCCCTATGCTCTCACCAAGTGCATGATAATGTAACCAAATGAATCTAATTCAGACATCAGTGAGGAGTAGTAGCCCATTTAATCTAGAACCTATTTTTATAATCATTTAAAGCAAAATTAAACTGTAAAACCTCTAGATGCTATATTTGCCTTTTTCTCAGTTGTGGTATACCAAGATTGTCTATGTTGATGATTTTTCTGCCATCACTTGGAACCTCTGGGAAATGTTTAAATTCAAAAGTCCCTGCAAAATGAAAAACTAGGTTAGCAAAAAAATTCGCAAGAGTATTACCCTCCCTTTAGAAGTGTTGTACTCTTACTATTAAGGGAGCCTCGCCTCGGGGGTACGGAGCCTCGAGGTCGGGAGATGGGGACCACGGGGAATGGGGTCTTGAGGTTGGGGGTGGGAG